TGCGCAGGTGCACCTGACGCACTCTGCACGTGCCCCGAACGCGGCGCACCTGGCGCGGCAGGACTGCGCGGCACACCCGGCGCACTCGGAGCACGCAGCGCATCTGGCGCACCAGGCGTGCCTGGCACGCTCGGGCCCCAGGGCGGGTGGGAGTGAGCTGGACGGCTTGCGGGCGGGGAGGGAGTCTTGATCACTGTTCCCTATTAGTAAACACTCCCTCCTCACGAGGATCGTGGCCTCCGAGGGGGGAGCCGCAATCGACTACCCCTAAGAGCCCCCCAAGAGGCCCTGGGGGCCTCCAAAACGCCGCCAAGGAGCCCCAAGAGACTCCCAAGAGGTCCCCAAGAGGCCCCCAAGAGGCCTTAAAGAGGGCTCCAGGGCCGGCGGCATGAGCGAAGCGATTAAATAAACACTCCCTCCCCCAGGCGACTGGGGGCCAACCCGAGTCCATGCCGACCCCCTGGCAAAAAACAATACAAAACACACTCTGCCTCCAAATCCCACCAGCCCTCTGGGCGTCGGTGGTTTAGGGCGTTTCCTCTTCCACCCCTCCCTCTTCCCCTTCGGGGAAGGGTTTACCCCTCCCCCTACCCCCTCCCCGCTGACCTGGACAGGAGGGGCGGGGAGCGGTCAGAGCGTCCAAAACGGCCTCGGCGAGGAAGCCAAAATCATTGATTTTACCATGGTTTTGGCCCCATTTTGGCCGTCTGAGGGGGCAGGGCTAATTAAAGCTCCCCTCTTCTTTGATCGATTTCCTCCACGATGGCCGCAAGAGGCCCCCAGGATGCCCCAAGAGGCCGCAGGATGGCCCCAAGATGGCCCCAAGAGGCCCCCCAAGAGGCCCCCAGGAGGCCCCCAAGAGACCCCCAAGAGGCCACAAAAGACCCCCCAGAGGCACCCAAGGTGCTCCCAGATGCCTTTTTACTATGGTTTGGGCCCCATTTTGGCTTTCTGAGGGGGCAAAGATGGCCCCAAGAAGCGCCCAGGAGGCCCCCAAAGGCCCCAAGATGGCCCCAAGAGGCCCCAAGAGGCCCCCAGGAGGCCCCAAAAAGGATCCCGAACGGCCCACAGAGGCCCCCCCGAGGCACCCAAGACGCCGAAAAGCCCCTCAGGACGACCCTCTACTCGCCTGGGCGTCGTTTCTGGACGGGCTGGTGGGGATACGCGAAGCGTCTAGAATTCGGAACATGCGCAGCCAACCCGATGCGGCCCCCCCCCCACCAACACTTGGCGGCGGCGGCGGCTGCGGCGGCTGCGGCGGCGGTGGCGGCGGCTGCGGCGGCGGCGGCGGCGGCGGCGGCGGGGGCGGCGGCGGGGGCGGCGGCGGCGGCGGCGACGGCGGCGGTGGTGGCTATGGCGGCAGCGGTTGCGGCGGCAGCGGCGGTTTGGCAACGGGAGGCTGCGGCGGCGGCGGCGGCGGCGGCGGCGGCCGGCGGCGGCGGCGGCGGGTGCTACGTATGTGTTGGGAGGGCGGGTGGGAGTGAGCGAAACGGCGTGCGGGCGGGGAGGGGTAACTTGACCCCTCCCCCTACACCCCCCCTTGACCCCTAGACGGGCGGCGACGCGACCCATTGGAACGTCTAAAACGGCCTCGGCGAGGAAACCAACATCATTGGTTTTACCCAGGTTTTGGCCCCATTTTGGCCTCTGGGGGGGGGGGGCGCTAATTGGAGTTCCCCTCTTGTTTGATCGATGGCCTCCAATATGGCCCGAAGAGCGCCTCTGAAGCTTCCAAGAGCGCCCCAAGAGGCCCCCCAAAGGCGCCCAGACGGCCCCAAGAGGCCTCCAAGAGGCTCCCAAGATACCCCCAAGAGGTACCCAAAAGGCTTCAACAAGATCCCCCGAAGCACCCAAGATGCCTCCCAGACGCTCCAAAAGGCCCCCCCCCGAGGCACCCAAGACGCCAAAGAGCCCCCCCAGGACCGCCAAGAGACACCCAAGGCGTCCCAAGAGGCCACCAAGAAGCGCCCAAGCGATACCCCAAGAGGCTCCAAGAGGCATCCAAGAGACCTCTGGCCCTGTTGCTCGCCCTCCTCCTCCTGCTCCTCCTTCCTTATACTCCTTCTATTCCTCCTCCTCCTCCTCCTCCTCCTCCTCCTCCTCATCATCATCATCATCATCATCAGCATCAGCATTTTTCTGTCTTATTCCCACTTCCTCATCCATCCATCCAGCCTCCTTCTTCTCCTCCTCCCTCCTTCGCACGGTTCGGCCGTGCACCTCTTTGCCCCCGCACTTCCCTGATCACCTCAACTCGCCTGGACATCGTTTCTGGATGGGCTGGTGGGGATACTTTTTTGATCTGCGGCCCGCAAGGAAAAGTCCAGAGGGCGAATCAATCAGGCAAGCTGGGACACAGTGCCAGATAATTAAGCTGCCAAGCAGGGAAGCGCAGGCCAAAACCACGAGCATCTGCCGTCGGCTGCAGCCCGCGCCGAGACCGGCCAGAGAGCACATGCAGAAGACCACTGGGCGAATGCCAGCGGAAGCCAACGAGGAG